GGGTCGGTGGGTAGACATGCGTGGTCTACACGGAGGAGCCTCCCGAGCTTCACAGAGGAAGGGGCCGGCAGGGGCCACGGCGCAGGCGCCATGAGTATGTGTCCTCCACGGCCTCTTAGCACACCACAGAGCTCTGACACACACTGGCTCTGCTCTCATTGCCGGCCACACAGCCCGAGGCCATGGACCCAGGAATCTACACCTAGCCTGCAGCCAGCGTGGGGCCGGTTAGTTTTCTCTTTGGTGTGTCTGTGTTTCCTTCAGGCGGCTGCACCATTCTGCGCTGCCAGGAAGTGGGTGACCCCAGGGGTCAGTGATTTGGAATCTATGGTGACAAATGCAAATGAGATCTAGACACTAGAACTCCGGGTTATAAGGTGGAGAAGGGGAGAGGTCGAGCATGTAAAACCAGGAAGTGGATGGAAAATTAACCCCATTTTGATACTTGACAGAACTCTGTGAACAGTCACCTCACTGTTTGTCACTGTGTGTCAATTCACTCTTTTTCTTTTGTACAGGGTTTGAACCCAGGGACTCTACACTGAGCTACATCCACGGCAATTTAAAAAAATCTTTCGGAGACTGAGTCTCACTAACTTGTCCCCTCTGCCTTGAATCAGTGATGCTCCTGTCTCAGGATCCCGGGGTGCTGAAATTACAGGCCTGCACTGCAACATATGTGCATCTCCCTGGCTGGAAAATCTCGGTGCGACCTCCAGGGAAGGAGGAGAGGAGGCACCTGGGTTAGTTCTTCGCGGTGAGTGGAGCTGCCCTGCGTGTGTGGAGGGACAAGAGAGGGGACCTGGGGGACCACATCCTTCCTCGCGGGATGTCCTGGGGAGGGAGAGCAGAGTCTGAGCTCTTAGTCACTGAGTTTGGGGGGGAAAAGGTCTCTAGGTGACCCAGGAGCCCAGCACCCCTTCTTTGGAGTGGCTTCCCATCATTCATTCAGCAGCAGGCTGTGGCACAGGTGGCGGCAGGAAGGGGGACCCTCTTGAAAAACGAGGGGGCTCTTCCACGGCCCTCCTTCCGGCCTGCCGACCTAGCTGCGGACGCTTCCCGAGGTGCCCTTGGGGTGCCGCTGTTGACACCGCCCCTCTCTACGAGGGACAGGATGGACGCCAGACCCCTGCTGGGGACCCCGTCTGCGCTCCGCTCCGGAGAGAGGGGACTTCCCTCCCTGCGCTCTCAGCGGCCGAGCTCCCTGCTCCGCGGGCTTCCGTCCCAGGCGGCCCTGCCTGCCGCCTGCCCACTGCCCGTGCTCCTCTCGCTCTTCCTGTCCAGCACCGCTGACCGCCCGCTCCGCATCCAGAGCTTTCTGCGCCCTCTCCAGGCTAACACTCTCCCGCTTCCTCCGAGGCCCAGCCGGGCTCCCCTGCCGGCTCCGCCTCCCTCCTGGCTCCTCCTCCAGCTCCAGGGGTCCCAGGTCTCCGGGCTTCACCCCCAGACCCGCTGCGGCCTGCAGCCTCCTCTTCCGACCTCCCTTGCTCTGGATCCCACCCGATCCCCTTCTCACGCATCACGGAAACTCTGCCCTCACCCCCTCTCTGTCCCCTCCTCTCCGTGGCCTGGATCAGACCCTAGCCCCTTCCCCTCATAGGAGTGTCCTCCTCCCCGATGCCGATGCCGGGAGCACCCATACCGCCTCCAGTTTTCCAAATTCTTAAACTATTTTACCTCATTTGTGACCACTCTCTTGATTTCTCCTTCCTGGAAACAGATGCATCATTCCCTTGTGCAAAATTCTCAGTGACTCCAGCGCTTAAGGGACACAGTGTCTTTTTCGAGGCACGTGAGGCACCTGGTGACCTTTGCCTCTTCTCCTTGCTCCCCCTCTTTTCTCCCAGCCCGTGCTTCTCCTGACCTGTGCCTGCCTTGGCTCTCGGGGTTCTCTCTACTTGGGTTCCCTTCTCCCTCCCCTGGGTCCCCTTCACCCCCCTAGACCCAGTCCTTCACGCCTCCTCCCAGGAGTCTCTTGCCTTCCTTCCTTCCTTCTCTGAGCAGACCCTGGGGACAGCTGTGGAGAGGCAGGGCGGGTGCTCCCCTGTGGTGACCCCTTCTAATCCCGGAGTCCAGCCATGCGCTTCCGGGATTCCCAGGGGTCATTGTCAGCTCTGCTCTGTTCCTTTATCCCATGAACCCCAGCTTCTCATCCCAGTGTCCCCAGAGCCAAGTCTCCCTGGCCCAGGGCAGGTAACAAACCAATGTGTGCAGAAAGGACAAATGATTGGCCTAAGATCAAGTCCTCCAGGGCGCAGAACCCTGCCATCCAAGCCACTGTCTCCCTGTTCTTCCACTTGCTGAGGGGCAGGAATATGTTGATTAGGGGGAACTTCACTGAGCATTTTGATCAGCTTCCCAAAGGATATGTCTGGAGCCATTTGTGTGTGTGTGTGTGTGTGTGTGTGTGTGTGTGTGTGTGTGTGTGTGTGTGTTCTTTGAGACAGGATCTCACTATGTAGTTCAGGCTGGGTTTGAACTCATGGGAGCCTCCTGCCTCAGCCTCCTGAGTGTTGGGATTATAAGTGTGAGCCACCACACCTAGCAGGAACTTTCTTTTCTACAGGAATGCCAGGTCTCTGCTCCATGCCCTGCCCAGTCTTTATTTCCCACTGTCAAGGCGAATTGGTGGCAATCAGTGGATCCTCTGTAAAAATTTGCTACCTGTTCTAGGTAGCTTGGTAGAGAGTGTGAACGATACAAAATGATTAGGAAAGACTTCTTCTCTCAAAGACTCTACAGCCTATTGGGAAAATAAATGTATTGGCACGAAGTTAAAAAAAAAACTTACTGAAGAAAGTTTTCTAAAATGAAATTTAGAATCAAACCTAAAGCAATGGTAAACTGCTCTTTAAAATCACTTATTGTTTCTTCCTCCCTCAGACAATGAAAAAGAGGAGAGAAAGAGGCTCCAAAGTTGTCTCTTTATGGCCCCTGGCATCTGGACACGGCAGGCGGGCAGGGCATCGGGAAGCACCGCACCTTGTTTTCTTGCTTACACAGGTGAGATCTTTCCGTGGGTGAAATTGGGAAAGCGGAGATGCAGAAGGGGGTGATAAACCACTCCAAATCTTCTTCAGAGATAACCACTTTCTATTATAGGGTACTTTAGTCCTCTCCATTTCTTAGAAACAAAGCAAACTCTTGTCTTTTGTTTGTGTATCCGAATTTTTGTTGTTATTCCAAAGCAAAGCATAGCCACTGCAAAAAGAGCCAGAAACATAAACAAGAAAAAGGAATGAAAAGAATTGTCCCTGGGCTCACAGATGGACCAAGCAGGGTGGACTGAGGAAGGCAAAGCATCTTCTCTGCTGTTTCCCTGCCCCTCTCATTTCATCTGCAAGACAAACAAGCAAGAGAACTCCAGAGCTTTCTTTCCAGCAAATTAGAAAACACAAACAGGCATCGAAGTGAGTGCCAATAAAAGGAAATGAAAGGAAAGGGCTGGGGGAATATCTGGGTGGTGGGGTGCGTGCTAGGGAAGGGGTCCTGAGCCACCAGATCTCCCGGGCCTGCACTGTCACTGGCAGCGCTGTCATGGCTGCCTCCATGCCACACAGCACTGGTTCGGGGCACAAGGTGGCCGAGGACATACGGTCTGTCCTGTTCTCAGGAGCCCGCCTTTCGGACCGACAGCGCTTGGCAGCAGCGTTGGCTGTACTTTTGACACACCTCCTGAAGACACTCACGAAAGAAGGCTTCCAGCACTGCTTCAGAAGGCGGCAAGGATGACGGCTGAGTGTGTTCCAAGGGAGGGGATTTTCAAGGGGGATCAGTGGGAATGTGTCTTTTACTGTCATGATTGTTTTTATAATCTAAACATTCACCATGTATTTTGATTACGTCTGGTATATCTTTCTTTCCTTCTCCCTCCCTCCCTGCCTCTCTCTCTTTCTTTTTGAAATGTATTTTTATTTTTAAAAAAGTATTTTTTGAGACTGGGTCTCACTATGTAGTTCAGGCTGGTTTTGAACTCACTATGTGGCCCAGGCTGGCCTTGAACTCAGGGCAGTCCTCCAGCCTCAGCCTCCTGAGTGCTGGGATTGCAAGCATGTGGGCCACTATGCCTGGCCTTCTTTCTTCTTTTTTGAGGCAGGCGGCAGAACCACTGAGCTAAATCCCCGGTTTTCTTCTTTTTTAGACAGAAAGGAGAGGCTTAGGTTGAGGCAAGTCAGCGGCACGTACAGATACCTCTGCTGTTGTATGGCTGCTTTCATTTGCTGTTCACACATAATAGCCAGGATAATGGAGAAGAAAGAGATGGGGTGTGAAGTGAGTCTTGCCACTCACCATGGGGGCAAGAGGAGATTTTAGAAGGGCTTTTCCTCCGGTTTAAAACTCTCTGAGAAGATGGTGAGGCTGTCAGCGAAGGGCGATGTTAACCCACGTGGGGAGCTGAGGAGAAGGAAGCTCCTAGGCTGCCTGAAACCCAAATACAGACGCTCCGGTGGCTTACAAAGCCCAACTGCTCTGC